TAATTATTATAATAAAATTAATTATAACCACTTATATATTTTTATCTAATTTTTATTTTTTTACTCTTATTTGACTTTCAACTTATTTTTGACTCTTTTATAAACACTTCTAAATTTTTTTGAATTCATTTATTAGTAATATGAAGAAGTAAAGTCATATATATGTTAAATTATTATATACATGTAGTTATTAGATTGAATTTCATGGTCAAATACATGTTATATTTTATTTTTTGGTATGCAATAATATAATAATATTATAAATGATATAACTAATTTAATTAACAAAATAAAGAGATTCCTAAATAAATGACAGATTAAGTACACAAAAATTTATAAAATAAAGTAATAATTATATTTGGTGATAATTAAAATACGAATTAATTATTCGACATGTAATTTATTATTTAATTTAACTATACATATATTTCACTTTTATAAAAAAAATATTATTTAAATTTGTTTATATCCAACGCACGTCAAATATGAGAATAAAGCCGAAAAGGAGCATCCAAAAAGACCGGACTTACTCCCCTCCATACAATATATGTATTATGTACGCTATGATTTCTGCACGATAGATATATTTTCCTTGGTGAACTCAAGTTTACTTGAAAAGTCGAAGACCCTGTATCAAATAGCTATTAAGGAATGACATAAAGAGTGGTGATAAATTATTTTTTCAGCTGTTCGGACGATCGACACTTATCGACATGAATTTTGTCACTCAAAAAGAAAGGTTAGAATGTCGCTAGAGTGTTTTTCGGCATGATTCTTCCGACAATTAAGTCAGTGTATGAGAGGGATAGAAAACACTGTTCTATTACTTGGGTGAGAATGGATGTACCTTTATTCGAGTTTATAAGAGTTATTTATACTTTCATGGAGTTAATTATTGCGGACAGGTAGGTCCCCTTGGAGGAAGATCCCTTATTGGATCATATGGAAGATGATATGTGGCGCATAGTCCTAAGACAGAATGTCTTTCCTGTCATGCGAAAAAAAGTTTATGCATTTAATGCTCGAATGACTGAATATTTAATACTCTTCTTATGAGGTGCGTTGAATAATAAATGTGTATCATCCTTCTCAAGGGGTCATTTAATATTTCCTTGCGGTGGTTGCACATGCGTAGGGGCACTTTTGTCCATTGACTTTCAATTATATGTTGTTCAGCTCGTGCATCATTATTATTGGTTAGTAACCTGTCATTTCTATCATTCTGACTGCTTTGGGAAGGAGAATTAATGATTATTGACCAATTTCGATTCCAAGTCTCGAAAACTGTCAAAATCGNATAAGACTCTAGATTTTCCACTATTTCTTCAGCCCATATCTAATTGGGTTCAGCTTATGTCCTCAAAATGAATTCCCTCATATTGGACATGCCATTTTGTGTTTTGAGTAATATTCCACATGCTTCCAAGCTGCTTACTGAATGATGCTTTGTCTCCTCTTTTTCTTTGCTGAAACCATGGTTTATTTTTTGCCTTCTAAGCATGTTGGAACGAAACATGTTTTCTGGTTTCTCAAGTGGATGCATTCTTTGAGCTTGCAGAGTGTGAAGAATGCCTCAGTAGTTTTGCATCAGATGAAACATTTTTCATCTTTCTATTCTTTTGAGTTCATGTGCTGTTTTTATTTTTTACTTCCCAGCCTCTTGTTCCAATCGCCTTTTGGTTTATTAGTTGGACCACTCTTAGGTTTGACTATTATGATGGCCTAAAGTGGGATAGTGGTGGGAGTTGGGGGTTATGTGTGGGTCTTATGTAAGTCTCTCGGTGCCCAAAGCATCCAATAAGTAGTAATCCCTGCCTCACCAAATGCATACATATATCATTAGGTTCCCTTGTACTCTTTACTCCATGTTTGTGTGGAATGACCTGTGTATTCCATGGATTGACATCAAATAAAATCAATGCCAAATGGTCAATCCCATAGTACTTAATGCTAAAAACTTTTGACTAAAATAGATGCATAAATCAAGTTCAGCAAAGAGTGAAGTTATGCTTTGAATTTCACATTTACGTATCTAATTCTATTCTGACGTTACATGTTTCTGGAATCTTTGCTGAGATTTTTTAGTTTTACTCTGCAGCTAGCTGCTTATGATACGGTCAACAAGAACTTGTCACCCAAACCTGGGGAACAGCCGAAACTTCCTATACCTGCATCACTTGTTGCAGGGGCATGTGCTGGAATCAGCTCCACGTTGGTGACATATCCACTTGAATTACTTAAGACTCGTTTAACTGTAGAGGTAAACAGTAAACTTGAGGCACAAGCGGCAATGCAGTTTAGTCTTCGCACTAGAAATCGTTGGTTAGATGTATAACGACTATCTATAATTGGTTTGATTTTGTTGAATATGCAGAGAGGAGTTTATGATGGTTTGTTTGATGCGTTTATTAAAATATTGCTGGAGGGAGGACCTGGAGAGCTGTACCGAGGTCTCACACCTAGTCTAATTGGTGTGATACCGTATTCCGCCACAAATTACTTTGCATATGACACGTTAAGGAAGGCCTATCGAAAAATCTTCAAGCAAGAGAAGATTGGCAACATAGAAACACTCTTGATTGGATCCACGGCTGGTGCTATATCAAGTAGTGCAACGTTCCCACTTGAGGTGGCTCGCAAGCACATGCAGGTCGGGGCTCTTAGTGGAAGACGAGTGTACAAGAATGTGCTTCATGCTCTCACGAGCATACTTGAACAGGAAGGGATCCAAGGGTTGTATAAAGGCCTTGGCCCCAGCTGCATGAAGTTGGTGCCTGCCGCTGGGATTTCATTCATGTGCTATGAGGCATGCAAGAGGATTTTGGTTGAGAAAGATGATGACGAATAGAAGAGATTTTTTCAGTCGAACTAGTGTTACTGAGTTCCCTGGTTTTTGGAGCATGGACAGAAAATGGCATAAAATTTTATATCTCTTGATTAATTTCTGTTGCATCTTTCTTTTTCCCTTCGAATTTTTTGTTTGAGATTCAGTTCTAGGAGCCTGGTTTACGAGGTTAGAACTGATACGTCTTAAACAACCATTATAAGCGAACTTTCGTTTTTTGTTTTTGTTTTTGTTTTTTGTGGAAGAATGATCAAATTGCAGTATACCGTTTGAGAAGGCACTTAAGGAGATTTTTTTTTTTCCCTAAAATCTTTTAGTTTTGTTATCCTTATAGTCATTATTAGAGATGCATTGTTTCTCATGTATAACATTTCTTAACACGATATTGTGTTAAGGAAATTTAGGAGGTTTTACAACACCATCCCTGCAAATAGCTTTTGAAAGCTACTTTGGGGTTGAAAGCTACTGATCATGGTTTCAGTTGGCGATTGAATTCGACTCACTGATTTGACTTTGATACCGAAGGAGGTACAATACCGAAGTTTATTGCATTCGTGGTTCAAAACATAATTTTTTTGGGGTTAACTTACAATAAAAAAAAAATGGATTTTAACATTTTAAAATCGACTATAAAAGAACTTTACTTTAGGAGTCTAAGTTATATGTTTTTGAGAGTTGGTTACAACCTTATGCAGTTTTGGGATTGATCTTATATTTTTATGATCAATTCCAACCCACCCTAAAAAATTATAAATGACCCATAAAAAATTGTATATCGTGGTACGATCGTTTTTGTTTTTAAAGTACCGTAGAATTCTCAGAGACTTATTTTTAAAAAAAAATTATGATTGTTTATAGTTGTAGTGTTTTTTGTTTTTACCTATTGAAATATTGTTGGAACTTATTTAAAAAAATGAATAGCTCAGTTCAAATATAATATAACTACATTAAAAGTGTACAATTTGCATTCTATAATGCACATATATCTACTTTTATAAAATAAGTAATTAATATGATTTTATTTTTTGATGAAATTGCCTTTTTGCTTGAAATTAGATACTCAAAAAAGTGTTACCAAATGGAACATAAGTTTTTTAAAACAAAAATTAATTGATCCTAAATCTTAGAATTTATCCTGGTATTTTAGAATCAGTTTAAAATAGCCTTATTTTATCGTAATCTTAAATTACAATTCTACCTTTTATTGTATAATAATTTTTAATATGATATCAAAAATATTTTTTTTTTCTCATAATGAGAAACTTCTCCAAAGATAAAGTCACTTTGAATTCCCCTTGCAGGATAAATCTAAGATATTTACGGTTTTGTCTAAACTCAACTCACTTCTTAAGGGGTGGATTTTAAAAAATTACCCTTGTATATTGTACCCTTTTCTGCACGACAGACCCAATTGCCAATTGCATTGCTTGCCTATTCTTATTTATTTATTGATAAGATATGATTAATTATATATATACTACTTATAAATGTCAGTATCTATAAAATTTTTTTGATTTTTTATTTTATTCCTAATTATTATAATAAAATTAATTATAACCACTTATATATTTTTATCTAATTTTTATTTTTTTACTCTTATTTGACTTTCAACTTATTTTTGACTCTTTTATAAACACTTCTAAATTTTTTTGAATTCATTTATTAGTAATATGAAGAAGTAAAGTCATATATATGTTAAATTATTATATACATGTAGTTATTAGATTGAATTTCATGGTCAAATACATGTTATATTTTATTTTTTGGTATGCAATAATATAATAATATTATAAATGATATAACTAATTTAATTAACAAAATAAAGAGATTCCTAAATAAATGACAGATTAAGTACACAAAAATTTATAAAATAAAGTAATAATTATATTTGGTGATAATTAAAATACGAATTAATTATTCGACATGTAATTTATTATTTAATTTAACTATACATATATTTCACTTTTATAAAAAAAATATTATTTAAATTTGTTTATATCCAACGCACGTCAAATATGAGAATAAAGCCGAAAAGGAGCATCCAAAAAGACCGGACTTACTCCCCTCCATACAATATATGTATTATGTACGCTATGATTTCTGCACGATAGATATATTTTCCTTGGTGAACTCAAGTTTACTTGAAAAGTCGAAGACCCTGTATCAAATAGCTATTAAGGAATGACATAAAGAGTGGTGATAAATTATTTTTTCAGCTGTTCGGACGATCGACACTTATCGACATGAATTTTGTCACTCAAAAAGAAAGGTTAGAATGTCGCTAGAGTGTTTTTCGGCATGATTCTTCCGACAATTAAGTCAGTGTATGAGAGGGATAGAAAACACTGTTCTATTACTTGGGTGAGAATGGATGTACCTTTATTCGAGTTTATAAGAGTTATTTATACTTTCATGGAGTTAATTATTGCGGACAGGTAGGTCCCCTTGGAGGAAGATCCCTTATTGGATCATATGGAAGATGATATGTGGCGCATAGTCCTAAGACAGAATGTCTTTCCTGTCATGCGAAAAAAAGTTTATGCATTTAATGCTCGAATGACTGAATATTTAATACTCTTCTTATGAGGTGCGTTGAATAATAAATGTGTATCATCCTTCTCAAGGGGTCATTTAATATTTCCTTGCGGTGGTTGCACATGCGTAGGGGCACTTTTGTCCATTGACTTTCAATTATATGTTGTTCAGCTCGTGCATCATTATTATTGGTTAGTAACCTGTCATTTCTATCATTCTGACTGCTTTGGGAAGGAGAATTAATGATTATTGACCAATTTCGATTCCAAGTCTCGAAAACTGTCAAAATCGCCATTCATACTCCGCCGATATGGAAGACTAGGGGCCTAAGTGACATGTCTGGCGAATGTTCCTCGGGTTAGGACATACGCCAATGACACGTGCCACCACAACAACACTCCGGTTGCCAACGCCGAGGACACGCGTCAGTTGTAGAGAGCTCCGAGGGAATACATGCCGATGACATGTGTTAATGTACGCGGTGTCTAGAGTACCTCTTCGTCGAGGCCACGTGTTGCTCTCAGAGAGATCAGAGGGTTACTCATGATGAAGACATGCGTCGCTCGAGGGAGTGCCCACATTCTTCATGCCGAGTACACATGTCAATTTCCTGTTAACTCTCAGAAGTGTCCCATCATAACACAATCTGTTGCATTTTCAGCATATCTAGTTAATATATGAGCAACACCATTGTTAGCTCCACGAATCCAAAAGCATTCAAGAAATTGCCAACTAACACATGAATCCTATCCAAAAAATGCCCATTATCGCTTAGGATCCGAATCCAAAGCCAGTTTAACAGCTACAAAGGCTGCCCAAACTGCTATGTGTTCCGCCTTAGTAATTCCTCTAATACATTTGCTAAAACCAGCCACAAATCATCCATTCCAATCCCGGATGACAACACCAATCCCAATAGTAGACATGGACAAAAATAAGAGCTCCATCGAAATTAACTTTGTACAAACTGTGAGAAGGAATAGCCATGACTAAGAACCCTCATTTTCAGGGTGGTTTCATTGGAATGGAAGAACGAAGCTGGGCAGCCTTGTACTAATTCAAATAAGAAATGGAGAAGGCAACAACCTGATACGGACAACTTACTGCCTGACCCAACCGAGCTCTATTCGTATTGTACCAGACAAACCACATAAGCACCGCAACAAATTCCAATTGATCTGGCAGCAATTTAATAGAAAGGTTCAACAGCCAATCACGAAGGCTGGGAACGTCATCTTGAGAGAGGGAAAATTCAGCAACTTCCCAAATGTGTGTAATAAAAGGGTAATTCAGAAAAATATGCTCTAGAGACTCTGGATAGTCACCATATATAAAACACTCATTTTCCACTGGAACTTTTTTATGAAGAAGATTAACTTGGATAGGCAGTATACCCAAAAGAAGTTTCCATACAAAAATCTTAATTTTGCCTGGACGAGATAAATTCTACATAAAGAATTTCGTATCCTTCTTACAGCATCGAGTAATTTGGTGTTTATGCAAATCTTGCTCCATAACCAAATGGTAACCACTATGAACTACAAACGACCCAGACATTGTATAGTGCCAAACCAGAGAATCAACATTGTCNTGTTTTTGTTTTTGTTTTTTGTGGAAGAATGATCAAATTGCAGTATACCGTTTGAGAAGGCACTTAAGGAGATTTTTTTTTTTCCCTAAAATCTTTTAGTTTTGTTATCCTTATAGTCATTATTAGAGATGCATTGTTTCTCATGTATAACATTTCTTAACACGATATTGTGTTAAGGAAATTTAGGAGGTTTTACAACACCATCCCTGCAAATAGCTTTTGAAAGCTACTTTGGGGTTGAAAGCTACTGATCATGGTTTCAGTTGGCGATTGAATTCGACTCACTGATTTGACTTTGATACCGAAGGAGGTACAATACCGAAGTTTATTGCATTCGTGGTTCAAAACATAATTTTTTTGGGGTTAACTTACAATAAAAAAAAAATGGATTTTAACATTTTAAAATCGACTATAAAAGAACTTTACTTTAGGAGTCTAAGTTATATGTTTTTGAGAGTTGGTTACAACNTTAAGATGGATTTTAACATTTTAAGATCGACCATAAAAGAACTTTACTTTAGGAGTCTAAGTTATATGTTTTTGAGAGTTGGTTACAACCTTATGCAGTTTTGGGATTGATCTTATATTTTTATGATCAATTCCAACCCACCCTAAAAAATTATAAATGACCCATAAAAAATTGTATATCGTGGTACGATCGTTTTTGTTTTTAAAGTACCGTAGAATTCTCAGAGACTTATTTTTAAAAAAAAATTATGATTGTTTATAGTTGTAGTGTTTTTTGTTTTTACCTATTGAAATATTGTTGGAACTTATTTAAAAAAATGAATAGCTCAGTTCAAATATAATATAACTACATTAAAAGTGTACAATTTGCATTCTATAATGCACATATATCTACTTTTATAAAATAAGTAATTAATATGATTTTATTTTTTGATGAAATTGCCTTTTTGCTTGAAATTAGATACTCAAAAAAGTGTTACCAAATGGAACATAAGTTTTTTAAAACAAAAATTAATTGATCCTATTATCCTGGTATTTTAGAATCAGTTTAAAATAGCCTTATTTTATCGTAATCTTAAATTACAATTCTACCTTTTATTGTATAATAATTTTTAATATGATATCAAAAATATTTTTTTTTTCTCATAATGAGAAACTTCTCCAAAGATAAAGTCACTTTGAATTCCCCTTGCAGGATAAATCTAAGATATTTACGGTTTTGTCTAAACTCAACTCACTTCTTAAGGGGTGGATTTTAAAAAATTACCCTTGTATATTGTACTCTTTTCTGCACGACAGACCCAATTGCCAATTGCATTGCTTGCCTATTCTTATTTATTTATTGATAAAAAATGATTAATTATATCTATACTACTTATAAATGTCAGTATCTATAAATTGTTTTTGATTTTTTATTTTATTCTTAATTATTATAATAAAATTAATTATAACCACTTATATATTTTTATCTAATTTTTATTNGTTAGGTAGTAATGTTGACGTGGTATTTTGGGTAAAAATCTAAAAATTACGTAGTAAATATTAACCTTCGAATCAAATTTTGAGGAATTTAGATAAATTTGAACAGCAAAAGAGAAAGTCATTTTCATGCCTTGGGAGAATCTAGAAATGCCTCGTACTTTATTATGTCGATCTCATAACCATATTTGATAATTCCCGCCCTCTATTATTTTTTTGTCAAACTAATTAGTATAGATACCNAACTCACTTCTTAAGGGGTGGATTTTAAAAAATTACCCTTGTATATTGTACCCTTTTCTGCACGACAGACCCAATTGCCAATTGCATTGCTTGCCTATTCTTATTTATTTATTGATAAGATATGATTAATTATATATATACTACTTATAAATGTCAGTATCTATAAAATTTTTTTGATTTTTTATTTTATTCCTAATTATTATAATAAAATTAATTATAACCACTTATATATTTTTATCTAATTTTTATTTTTTTACTCTTATTTGACTTTCAACTTATTTTTGACTCTTTTATAAACACTTCTAAATTTTTTTGAATTNGCTTGACAATTCTATTCTATTGTTGATGTACCTCTCCCTAGTATTGGGTTTTCAATCCTAACAGGGATGAGTGGTTTTGCCCGATAAATGGCTAAGGCTAGAAAAGACAGGTATTCATTAGTCTACTTGTAATTGTGATATTATCAGTTGTGACTTATATATTAGTAACATGGACAAATGCAAGGGGGCATGGCATGGGGAGCCTCACTAGAAATGGCTATGAATATTTTTGTATCGGGTTAATGTCATGTAAAAATTGTATCATGTTCAAATTTTANAATATTATTTAAATTTGTTTATATCCAACGCACGTCAAATATGAGAATCAAGCCGAAAAGGAGCATCCAAAAAGACCGGACTTACTCCCCTCCATACAATATATGTACGCTATGACTTCTGCACGATAGATGGATGGACATATATTTTCGTTGGTGAACTCAAGTTTACTTAAAAGTAGAAGACCCTGTATCAAATAGCTATTAAGGAATGACATTTGATAAATTATTTTTTCAACTGTTCGGCCGATCGACACTTATCGACATGAATTTTGTCACTCAAAAAGAAATGTTAGAATGTCGCTAGAGTGTTTTTTGGCATGATCCTTTCGACAATTAAGTCGGTGTATGAGAGGGGTAGAAAATATTGTTCTATTACTTGGGTGAGAATGGGTGTACCTTTATTCGAGTTTATAAGAGTTATTTATATTTTCATGGAGTTAATTATTGCGGACAGGTAGGTCTCCTTGGAGGAAGATCCCTTATTGGATCATATGGAAGATGATATGTGGCGCATAGTCCTAACACAGAATGTCTTTCCTGTTATGTGAAAAAAAGTTTATGCATTTAATGCTCGAATGACTTAATATTTAATACTCTTCTTATGAGTGCGTTGAATAATAAATGTGTCACATCCTTCTCAAGGGTCATTTAATATTTCCTTGAGGTGGTTGCACATGCGTAGGGGCACTTTTGTCCATTGACTTCCAATTATATGTTGTTCACCTCATGCATCATTATTATTGGTTAGTAACCTGTCATTCTGACTGCTTTGGGAAGGAGAATTAATGATTATTGACCAATTTCGATTCCAAGTCTCGAAAACTGTCAAAATCGCCATTCATACTCCGCCGATATGGAAGACTAGGCGCCTAAGTGACATGTCTGGCGAATGTTCCTCGGGTTAGGACATACGCCAATGACACGTGCCACCACAACAACACTCCGGTTGCCAACGCCGAGGACACGCGTCAGTTGTAGAGAGCTCCGAGAGAATACATGCCGATGACATGTGTTAATGTACGCGGTGTCTAGAGTACCTCTTCGTCGAGGCCACGTGTTGCTCTCAGAGAGATCAGAGGGTTACTCATGCTGAAGACATGCGTCGCCCAAGGGAGTGCCCACATTCTTCATGCCGAGTACACGTGTCAATTTCCTGTTAACTCTCTGAAATGTCCCATCATAACACAATCTGTTGCATTTTCAGCATATCTAGTTAATATATGAGCAACACTATTGTTAGCTCCACGAATCCAAAAGCATTCAAGAAATTGCCAACTAACACATGAATCCTATCCAAAAAATGCCCATTATCGCTTAGGATCCGAATCCAAAGCCAGTTTAACAGCTACAAAGGCTGCCCAAACTGCTATGTGTTCCGCCTTAGTAATTCCTCTAATACATTTGCTAAAACCAGCCACAAATCATCCATTCCAATCCCGGATGACAACACCAATCCCAATAGTAGACATGGACAAAAATAAGAGCTCCATCGAAATTAACTTTGTACAAACTGTGAGAAGGAATAGCCATGACTAAGAACCCTCATTTTCAGGGTGGTTGCATTGGAATGGAAGAACGAAGCTGGGCAGCCTTGTACTAATTCAAATAAGAAATGGAGAAGGCAACAACCTGATATGGACAACTTACTGCCTGACCCAATCGAGCTCTATTCGTATTGTACCAGACAAACCACATAAGCACCGCAACAAATTCCAATTGATCTGGCAGCAATTTAATAGAAAGGTTCAACAGCCAATCACGAAGGCTGGGAACGTCATCTTGAGAGAGGGAAAATTCAGCAACTTCCCAAATGTGTGTAATAAAAGGGTAATTCAGAAAAATATGCTCTAGAGACTCTGGATAGTCACCATATATAAAACACTCATTTTCCACTGGAACTTTTTTATGAAGAAGATTAACTTGGATAGGCAGTATACCCAAAAGAAGTTTCCATACAAAAATCTTAATTTTGCCTGGAAGAGATAAATTCTACATAAAGAATTTCGTATCCTTCTTACAGCAACGAGTAATTTTGTGTTTATGCAAATCTTGCTCCATAACCAAATGGTAACCACTATGAACTACAAACGACCCAGACATTGTATAGTGCCAAACCAGAGAATCAACATTGTCATTTAGCTTTGCAAGATCCCAATATCGTCTAGCAGGATCTATCAGATTACTCACCAATATATCAGCTGAAACATTCCGCAGAGGACTAAAAACTTTAAAGGTCAGAGGCCGAGGAATCCACTAGATTTTAATTGAATCTCCATTCCCAACTTGCCAACGCAGACCAGAATGAATTACTTTCCTGGATGCTAAGATACTTCGCCAAGTATATGCCGGACGAGACGCCAATTGACTATCCATAAAAGAAGAAGAGGGAAAATACTTAGCTTTAAGAACTCTTGCTTAAAGAGAATCCGGTTTTTTGATTAATCCTTTTCTATTATAATTTTATCCTATCGCCATTGCCTAAGTCCACAACGACAACAATTGGATATTTTCACTATGGAATAAAACAGGAGTAAAAGATAGTTATTTTAAACCCCACAAGTACTCACTTCAACAAAAGTGGATCACTTTGATATATAACTGCTATCACTTGTTGCAGAGAAAGAATGAAGAAAATGGGAAATATACTTGTAATTTTGGATGATTTGTTGACAGGGCTTGATTTGGGGACTATAGGAATTCATCACAATAATGTTCACAAAGGGTGAAAATTTGTTGTCCTGTCTCAAGACCAAGATGTTTGTAGTAAGATGAATGCTCAGCAAAATTTTTCCCATCGAAGTTTTGTCTGAGCCAGATGCATGGACTTTATTCAACAAAATAGCAGGTAATGTTGAGAGTTGCGAGATGTGTTTCCAAGAGTGCGGAGGCTTGCCCATTGCAATTGTTACTGTTGCAGCAGCTTTGAAGGGTAAGAATTATCATGTGTGGACTGATTCACTTCGCAAATTAAGGAATGCAGAGTTGAATGACATTAAAGGCATGCATGCAGAAGTTTATTTAAGGCTGGAGTTGAGTTATAACTTTCTGGAAAGTGAAGAACTCAAAAACTGTTTCTTACTGTGTTGTCTACTCCCAGAAGATCATGATATTCCAGTCGAGTATTTGTTGAGATATGGAATGGGTTTAAGGTGGTTTGGAAATGTTACTAATATAATAGAAGAAAAAGACAGAGCACACACCTTGATTGAAAACCTAAAACCATGTATATCTTATATAATACATCCACTTGGATATGGATAAATAGAAAGAGTTCTTCCTATGTTTAATAGTCTCTTCTATTATATTTTTTAGTGAGTGTGTGATAGTCCTCTAGATTTCAACAAAGTGGTATCAGAACTAGACTTGAGTGTTGAAAAAAAAAAGTATGAGAGATGACAAATGGAATGTTTCTATTTCAAATGCCTCCATTCACCAAAGATAACTATGAGAATTGGTGTATCTGCATAAAGGCAATTCTTGGATCTCAAGACTTATGGGAGATTGTAGCAATTGGTTACATAGCACCACAAAATGAAGTTTCCTTAAGTCAAGCCCAAAAGGAATTTTCTTTGTGGATTCCTATACAAAGTTTTTGTAGATGGGTCTCTGACTTTTCCTTTATCATTTTGTCTAAGAGGAGGAGGTTGTGCAGAAGATGTTTATGTAACCTTAATGGACCTAAAAGTGGAGAAAATATTAGATGTAACGGTTATACCACGTCAATAATGTCATGTGGTGTAACCGTTCACTAATAAATGAATAAACAAGCAAGTCCAACAAAATTCAGTAACTATCCATCCATGTTATATGTGACCACCTCCATGTAAGACAATGGGGTCTACTTTATTTATTTTCTTGTTTTTTTATGGGATGGTTACGTTAGGTAGTAATGTTGACGTGGTATTTTGGGTAAAAATCTAAAAATTACTTGGTAAAATATTAACCTTCAAATCAAATTTTGAGGAATTTAGATAAATTTGAACAGCAAAAGAGAAAGTCATTTTCATGCCTCGGGAGAATCTAGAAATGCCTCGTACTTTATTATGTCGATCTCATAACCGTATTTGATAATTCCCGCCCTCTATTATTTTTTTGTCAAACTAATTAGTATAGATACCTCAATGAATATGAAATTCCTGTCACACTTTCAAACATATTATGAGCCAATTTGAATAAATTTTGAATATGTTGGGGTCATTATCGGATTAAATTTATGATTGTGACATAATAAATAATTAAATATAAGTAACTCTACACACTTTTTGATTAACTTGACAGTTATATTATTTGATGTACACTCTTAANGTCCAGGAACCTTTATTCAACCTTACTGGATCGTTCCTTTGATCCGCGAGGGTCTCCCATTACCGTTCCAGGNTGACACTTTCTGATTAGCTTGACAATTCTATTCTATTGTTGATGTACCCTCTCCCTAGTATTGGGTTTTCAATCCTAACAGGGATGAGTGGTTTTGCCCGATAAATGGCTAAGGCTAGAAAAGACATGTATTCATTAGTCTACTTGTAATTGTGATATTATCAGTTGTGACTTATATATTAGTAACATGGACGAATGCAAGGGGGCATGGCATGGGGAGCCTCACTAGAAATGGCTATGAATATTTTTGTNCGGATCTCACAGGCTGTTTTCAAGTAGCGTGGTTGACCACTCAACTGACTCACTCGAGTTCACCAAAGGAGAAATCTGTTCTCGTTTTTATATTGTGCAAGATCCAGCACGCACAATAATGTTCACAAAGGGTGAAAATTTGTTGTCCTGTCTCAAGACCAAGATGTTNCTTGTTTCTGTACCATTCTGAGCATTGACTTGGTGGTTAGGATATCTCACCTAAGTATACATTGGCCCACGGAGACCAGTGTGCCACATCAGCTTTACCGTTGAAATAGGTTGAAAATTCAACTTAGGAAAAATAGAAATAGGTTACAAATTTTCAATGTTTTGGAAAGCTTTTGTTGAATTACTGGAAGGGAAAACCTCCAGTGGAAAGTAGTAAAAAATGGTTAACATTACTCAAAAACATAATGTTGCATCTAAATATACATGTATACATAAACATACCCTCATAGATTGGGAGATATTGCTAGTAAGTGGTGAATAAAACCTCCAAATAAAAGAATCAGAACGAACAAAAATTCAAAAGCTTGATCTGAAATCTATCTGCACTTTCAACAGTGAATGTGCGGGTGAGTGGATGCAGGTGTGTTGGTACATGTGTAATTTTAAGTCTTCGGCCCAATTGATAGAAGTTAATTGGTTTGCAGCTTCTGTTAATTCAAAAGAGAAGTGAACTTATTACAAGANGCAGAAGTTTATTTAAGGCTGGAGTTGAGTTATAACTTTCTGGAAAGTGAAGAACTCAAAAACTGTTTCTTACTGTGTTGTCTACTCCCAGAAGATCATGATATTCCAGTCGAGTATTTGTTGAGATATGGAATGGGTTTAAGGTGGTTTGGAAATGTTACTAATATAATAGAAGAAAAAGACAGAGCACACACCTTGATTGAAAACCTAAAACCATGTATATCTTATATAATACATCCACTTGGATATGGATAAATAGAAAGAGTTCTTCCTATGTTTAATAGTCTCTTCTATTATATTTTTTAGTGAGTGTGTGATAGTCCTCTAGATTTCAACAAAGTGGTATCAGAACTAG